ACTAGTACAGTTTAGTCCTCCTAATTAAAGGAAGTCACTAATTAAAGCTTTTTGAATTGGATAAGAATGTTACTCTATAGGAGACCGTGCCTGATTATCAGCAACCATTCTACTTTAGGTTTTGATATTTTGAAAAGAAATTAATTTCTGCTGTAAAAGAAGTGTCTCCATAGTCTTTCTCTTGTTTTTATATTATATTAGGCCTTTCTATTTTAGAGCTGAGAATTCAGTCACATACTGGCCTATTGGTTTAAATCCTACATTTTCCCAGTGAAGCAGAATGACAGTGCTTGTACCTACTGTATGTGTGGAAATAGCCAGGAGCAGCTGCTGAAGCAGCCACCAGTTTGGAAAAGGACATGCTTCATATTTTTTCCTATAGTTCCAAAGCCCTTATTTGAAAGAATATTTATAGCCCTATTGCAGATTAGTAACATCTGGCTAATAATTGAATAAAATGGTGCCACTGAAATAATATTTTGATTTTTACTAATAAGAGAACTAAATTCTCATACAGTTACATGGGAGAGCTTATCTAAAGACTGAAATGTCTACAAATAAATGACTGGCAAGAGATTATTGATGAACTTGGTGTCCATCTCTTGCAGTGTTAGAATTCTGGATCGGGGTCCCTAACCTCCAGTCCGTGGACTGGTACCAGGCCGCGGCATGCCAGCAATCGGTCTGCACAAACAAGCAAAGCCCCATCTGTGGGATGCAGGCTGCACACAAAACCATGCTCCCTCCGGTCCACGGAAAAACCTCTCTCCATGGAACCGGTCCCTGGTGCCCAAAAGGTTGGGGACCTCTGTTTTAGACAATCCTATGAAATTAAAAATTGATTGATTTGGGCAAGGGAATGTACAGCAAACTTCAATAATTCCATAATAATAATAATAATATGCAAATGTCATCATTATTTACATCCCAACATTTTACATGGTATTTTTCATGATATCATCTTACATATATTGTCGTTTCCCCCTTCCCATGCATATCCATGTATATTTTGATTCTAAACATAATTAAAGGAAAAAGCAAATTCAACCTCCATGAACCATTAGTGAGCAACAGTAGAAGACTGTTCACCATCACACTGCTTGTGAATTTGCTGAATACATGCTAGACTAGGGAGGCTTTTGGCCTATGATAAATTTATGTTACAGGTAGTCCTTGACTTACAGGGAATGTTGCAAATGGCAATGGGATGCTGCAACCATCATAAGTGCAAGCCAGTTGCCAAGTGCCTGAATCATGATCAACAGAGGTGGTGTAACGTCCAGAATGTCAAGGGCTGGTATAAGTACTACTTGTTTAGCACCGTCACAATTTCAAATGGTTGTTGAACAAGTGGTCAATAAGTGAGAAATTCCTGTATGTTCTTATGATATAAAACAATACAATACAATACAAGAACGATACAAAGCATATTTTCCCAATTAATTTATTTGGGACTTGTTTTAATTAGATTCTAAATGATTATGTAATGCTACCCCTGAAAGGGCCGCTGGAGTCCAGGTTCTCCTGGCCCTCTTGGGCTGCCTGCCGGTCCACAGTGGTCCCTGACTTAGGCACTTCTGCTTGGCTGGAACACGTGATGGGCTGGTGTTCAGTCTCTCTCGGCAGACAGGTCATGTGATGATGTGATGGTCAGTCTCTCTTAGCAGGCAGGTCATGTGCAGGGAAAGTGTTCAGGTGGCTGGTCATCTCTTCTTCTTCTTCTTCTTCTTCTTCTTTTCTCTCTCTCTCTCTCTCTCTCTCTCTCTCTCTCTCTCTCTCTCTCTCTCTCAGGTTTGCCCCACAGAAGCCTCTCCTATCCCCTTCTCTCCCTCAAGCTTGCCCCACAGAAGCCTCTCCTATCCTATCCTCTTCTCTCTCTCAGGTTTGCCCCACAGAAGCTTCTCCTATCCTATCCTCTTTTCTCTCTCAGGCTTGCCCCACAGAAGCCTCTCCTCTCCTATCCCCTTCGCTCCCTCAGGCTTGCCCCACAGAAGCCTCCCATATTCTATATCCCTTTCTCTCCCTCAGGCATGCCCCATAGAAGCCTCTCATATCTTATCCCCTTTTCTCTCTCAGGCTTGCCCCACAGAAGCCTCTCCTCTCCTATCCCCTTCGCTCCCTCAGGCTTCCCCCACAGAAGCCTCCCATATTCTATATCCCTTTCTCTCCCTCAGGCTTGCCCCATAGAAGCCTCTCATATCTTATCCCCTTCTCTCCCTCAGGCTTGCCCCACAGCAGCCTCTCCTATCCTATTCCCTTCTCCCTCAGGCTTACCTCCTACAAGCCTCTCCCATTCTCCCCTATTGTCTACTCTCCCAGGCTTATCTTCTCCAAACTAGGCCTTAGCAGACGCAACTCCTCCCTGCCCTCTCCTGACTCCTCCCCTGGGCATCTCCCCATACTGCTTCTTCAGCTCACCCTACCCAAGCTACAATTATTTATATTTATATAAATATAACAAAGATTGCAACTACTGCCATCGTAAATTGGTACAATCGTGTTACCACACCTTACGACCATATTGTTTAGCCCTGAAGCTTCCAGTCCCAATCACCATTGGTGAGAAATATTGTAAATACATAGTCAGCAGCCAAAATGAAAGTATAAACAAACATCCAAAATCCAACACCAACATAACTATCTCATAGACTCTGGCCAACATTTTGATCCCTATACCCAATGACACAGCCACATCATTAAAGTCTTATAAAAGGCCAGCAGGGCTGGGGGTACTCTCATCTCTGGGGAAATGATGCTTCAAAAGGAAGATATAAACAGAAAAGGCTGGGCCCCACCAGAGGGCACTCTGCAATGGAGAAGGCCCATAGCCTGCATCTCCTGTGTCTGATGGGATGACTACCGGTATATAAAATAGGGCAGAAACTATCCCTCAGATAACCCAGTCCCATGTCATGAAGGGCTTTTTACATTTTTTAAAACTTGTAGCTAACAAAGTAAAGAGTAGCTTACATTTGACTGCCAATTTTGATTCCAGTTGCTATTTTTTTTCAAATCCTCTTAGTATATGTGCTATATAAATTATAGATATGGTGAAAATATTTGTCTTGTAGGATAGTCCAGTCCTTAGTCTGCGGTATTTGATTGATTTCATTGCAGCAAATAGAGATGATCCTAAAAGGAAAGTAAATATCCTTCATAACCAAAATGATCACAACTTATAGAATATGATAAGTTTCCTTTCTAATCATTTCAACAATGTTTAGAATTATTATACTGAGTAATTATATATAAATTTTCAGTATACCGATTGAATTGCATGTCACTTCCAACAGAGGAAATTTGAATACAGTACTCTAGAAGTTATTTTTTGATATAACAGCAAGGTTTTTATTTTCAGGGGGGCTGTCTTACCACAGCAATTAATTTAAACAATGGAGTCACTGGATAATGTATATTTGAATGTATATGTAATAAATTAAAAGACTGCTTATTTTTCAAGCACAAGACAGCTTTCAATTATGCCTATTGTGGAAATGCAACAATGGAAAAAGAATTTCTACTTGCTGCATATGGAAGGAATTGTAGGTAAAAAGGCTGGAGTAGAAATAACAACGGCACATTTAGAAACACAGTAACAAATGTGTAAAATAAACGAATTCACATGGGACACAGCGAACGCCCCATACTGTATAGAGCAGGGCTTTTCAACCAGTGGTACGGGTACCACCTGTGGTACATTGGCACCTGGCAGGTGGTATGCGACCATCCTAGAAAAGTGGTAGCGGGGGAGGGGAATGAGCTGAACCGGTGGCAGCACCACACAAGCCTGAACGAGAGACAGCTGGAGCTGCAGGGCTGTGAGGGCTCAGCGGAAGCACCATGATCAATACCGCTTTCCAGCTGATTGGCACTTCTTCGGGACTGTCAGGGCTCAGCGGAAGCGCCAGGATCAGCGCCAGGCTCCAGCTGGAAAGCAGCACTGATTCTGGCGCTTCTGCTGAGCCCAGAAGAAGCGCCAATCAGCTGGAATGTTGCAGCATCTCCAGGGTCTTGTGATTTACATTCAAATGCTTGGCAACTGATTCATATTTATGACGGTCACAGTGTCCCAGGGTCATGTGAAGTGACCAAAACCTGCTGCAATCACCCAGCAGACGGGGGGGGGAATAAAAACCAAACACCTCCCACTCCAACCCCGCTGCCAATCCCCAACAGAAATGCTCACAACAATGAAAACCTCGGACAGAAGGCAGAGTGCAGCCGGGCAGGCGGGCAGGTGTCTTGCTCGGCTGTAGCTTGGGGGGCACTTTTTTCAGTGCTATTGTAACTTCGAACAGTCTTTAAGCGAACTGTTGTTAGTCAAGGACTACCTGTACTTTATCACTTTTTTCCTTTTTGGGGGGGAGGGGTCATCAAATTTTTGACACCTTGCTAGGCGACTGGTGGTACTCGGATGTTGCCATATCCTAAAAGTGGTACAATGGGTGAAAAGGTTGAAAAGCCCTGGTATAGAGCACCCTATTAGGAATAAGTTCATTGAGTTCTATAGCATTTACTTCTATGTGACCTCCTGCCTATGTGGAACCTTCTAAAGTGGGTTAGGAAGCTGCTTGGGAATTAAGCCGTTTGTAATGGAGCTTTGTGCCTCGTTGCTGCCAATTAGTTACCATCCGAATTTTTGTAAGCAATAAATGGTAGGTAGCACTACTAGGTAGTATGGTAACATATGCGACGGACTCTCCGGGAACGGCTTTATTTACTACGTCCTGGATAGCAATCAGATTTATTTTAAAGATCTTTCGAACTTATGGCCGTTATACCTGCTACACGGTACGATAAAATTCGAGAAATTCTTTTATTGTTTCACTTATTTTAATAAATTTGCCCCACTACAATAGCTTTTTAGCATTTTCATGAACCGCACTCCCACAGGATCCGCTCTTCGCTTTTCTTCTTCTATGATGTCATACTAACGCTCTAGGAATGTCGGGAAATGTATTTTGTCCTTGTGTAGATCGTGAGAACTACAAAAACGCATGCGCGAAGCTAAGGAAACCACCATTTTGGAAGGAAGCGGTTAGAAGTTGTATTGGGTTAGGATTTGTTTTAGTCGTGGAGCGTGGCCGTCCCTGCTTGAGCTCCGGAATGCTTGGCGAGCGAGTAGCCGACTTGTTTTGAGGTTAGTCTACAGATGCGGGTAGAAAGTTTCTTTTGGGAGAGCGATGCGAAGTAGTAGTGCTGAGGAAGCCTCTGAATTGCGCAACTTGAGGGCGAACGAGTGGGCAGATGCTGTTTTCTGTGTGACGTGTGTTTACGGAGAATAAATCCGCCGGCCTTGGCCTGTCTGGTCCTCTTGGACTACAGCTCTCATTGCTCTCATTCGCTTTGCCGTGGGTGATGAAACTTGTAGTCCAGAATCTATGGGAGAAAGTGGATGCAAGCCCTACAGAGGGGCTCTGCTTTTCTATCTGAGTTGTCACTCGTTGAATAAGGCTGTTGAGATGCAGGTTGACATGCCCAATGATGTTGGGGCACTTGATGCATAAAAACAAGGGGAAGCATAGATAGCATGCCCACTGCTATCATATGGGCAGAGCCTTTGTGGGGGCTGCCATCCCAAAATCCGGATCATGAGTCTTAGGTAGCACATGGGACCTTTAAGAAAAGGGCAAGGCTAAAGTGATATGACTTGGGATCTTAAATCTGAAGTGGCAAGGGCTTACTTTATTTTGAAGATTGCTGTTGTGTGTTATCAAAATAAGCTTGAACCATTTTGTTGTTGTTTGACCTCAATTTATTCACAGTTTTGTTTTTTCCAAAGCAAGTGAAACTTAAAATAGGTAGTAAATGTGTAATAGTGTATGCTGTCACTGAAATATAAAAATACCTTGATGCCAAAAACATTTTGTAAACTGAAGAATGTTTTACCCTTAGGCTCCTTTTCACAATCTCTCACTAATTTTACCATAACATTTTATTATTTAGAAAGCATATTAGAAAAAATAGGTTGGTTTCAGTGGGTATATCCTCAGTTCAGCATGCTTAGCTTCAATCATTGCATGAGTAATATGTGGTAAAAACATGAAACATATTTGATATAATACTTTAAATATATTTTATTGTTTTCAAGATGATTCATGCTGTGTGTAAGCCAAGATACTTTGAAAATCTGGATATCTCAGTAGCCGAGCCCTCTTCTAAAAGGATGAAATCTACAGAAGAGCCTTATGGTAAATCCTATGATGGATTACAAACACTTCATGAGGAAATACATATTAAAAAAACCCATTCTGGCTTTATTCCATTGTCGCTATCTGACGATGATGAAGAAGAGGAGGAAAAAGAGAGAGAGAGAAAGGAAGAAGTGTTAAACTCATTTAACCAAGTACCTTCTGGTCAAACACCAAGTTCCACAGAATGTTCAAGTTTAATAAACAAAACTGAAATTAAAGGAAATGATTATTCTTTTGTTACTGACAACAGCAATGTAACTCATAATGGAGATAACAATTTCATTAATGAACATAAGAATAAAGGGGAGATGGAATTGTACAGCACAAGCAAAGAATTTATTGGGCCCATTTATAAAAATGAAAGTAATTATGAACATAAACAAAAGCAAAAGTGTATTGAAAACAACTGCTCGAAGAGATCAAATACTTTTACTAGTAGAAATTCTCAGAAAGAAATAGTGCAAGCTATCTTCTGTGATATGCCAAAAATAGAAGATGAATTGTCACAGTTCTACAGGGAAATTGATCAGCTTGAAAGTAATGAAAGTTGTCTGGATACACATTTACAGGGGACAGAAGCAAATCCACCTCATCCACCTCTGGACTGTAGTAAATCAAATCAAGTCATTTATTTAAAGTCTCAAGAATTATCTCATAAGACATTACTTAAGAGTAATGAGGGACATTGTTTTTATAATGAATCAAATGGTTATAAAACTGGCAAAGACCAATACATTTGTAATGATACAACTGGTCACAGAATTGGCATGGAACAAAGTGAACATGGAAGAAATGCATGGGAAACCAAACAACCGTGTAATAAACAAGGTTCTAGATTCTGGAATGATTTTGTACCTCAGTTTAGGCATAGTGGGCCACAGACCCATCCATTTGTAATACCTTACAACCCACCACATCAATTTACTGCTCACTTTAATTTTCATGACTCTAATTCTTCATCACTTTGTTCAGATGGTTTCAATTCTTCAAATACAGAATTTAAAAAAATTAACATGAACAGTTCAGACTTTGATCAAAGTAATCCATACAGTAATCACTCCAATATTCATAGTATGCATACAATCAGAAATGAATGTAATGTACCTGATGGATATATGTTTAATGGTTTCTGTGAAACTCAAGCAAATTGGAAAAACACTAAAGCTCCCAATTTTGAGGACTCAAACAATGTTCCCCAACAGCATTCTCAGGACAAATATGTGTTTAAAAAGCGACTTTTAATATTAAGAGGACTTCCAGGCTCCGGAAAGACAACCTTATCTCAGTAAGTGAAACATGAATTTATTTTAAGAATAAAATACAAGTAATTTATATGATATAATTCCTTTTCTATAATGCTGCTTCCTATTAATCTCTTCCCCATCTACATATTCCCTCTATCTCCAGATCTTTGGTGTTAGTATTAGGTTTACATAACTTTTAACTTCTAGCTAAGAAAATGGGCCTTTGGACATACAATGACTGGATTCCACAAAAGGTGTTTCTGAATCTTATCTGTAAATCATGATTTCTTATGATTAGACTAATTTTAATGATTATTTCTTTCATTAACTAGAATATTCTGTGAAATTTGGGAATAATTTGAATTGAGATAGCTATAAATATTTATATTTTAATGTAATTAGTATACATTCTTTTAATGGTATGTTGAGGGAAACAGGTCAAAGCATTTTGGCTTAAATACAAGTAACTGAGCAAGTTGGTTTCTAAACGTGTTTTAGAAATAAGACCATTTTTGAGGGCTTGTTAGAAATGTTTATATTAATAATTTTTAATATCACAGTATTTTAGCTTATTCTGCATGAGACATGTATTTACCTGAATTTAAACTATTAATGTATGTACATTGGCTGTTTATTGGTTATCTTTATGCAGCCTAAATTAAAAAAAAAAAGTGGATAAAAGGATCCTTCTGAATAATGCTGATTGGTACATTTTAAAGTAATTTTGCTCTTAAAATCAACATAAATGATACCTGTTAGTTTAGCAACAGTAGAAAATAATTATTAGTATTATAGCTTTTTTCCATTACATAAACCCGAAAGATAGATAAGACAGCATAAATATATAATCAATTAAGTTATCTGATATGGGAGTGAATAGATTCTCCTTGTGAAATATCATTTATGAATGGCTTATTTTTCAGGAAAAAAAAATTGGAAAGGTAGTAAAAATTAGATTTGGGAACTGTCATAGTCTTAAGGTATCTACCAAAAATGTATTGGAAATGTTTTACTAAAATTTTAGTATAAGGTTTTCTGTTTTTCAAAAGCAATATTTGGCTATGTAGTAATAGACTTCCTTTTTATTCCTTTGACAGCATTCTCCTCGGTCAGCTTTGTAATGGCACTGTATTCAGTACTGATGATTACTTCCATCAGATCAATGGATGTTGGACCTATAATGTTTCTCAGCTTGGTGCTGCTCATGAGTGGAATCAAAATCGAGGTGTGAAAATATTTTAATGTGGAAACATTTACAGTGAAATATGCACTTAAATTGATAATATAAATCCATGAGAGTTTGTGACAGATTCATTGGTATATGCAATAATATCCCCATAAATAGTAGGGAATTTGAATTTTTAGCATGGTTCCTTACTATTTTTCTCTTTTATGGGAAGTTTTGGTAAATGGAAACTGCCTTGTGCCTGTCTTCTCTATAAGTACAGACAAATCTAGGATGTTAAGAGTAAAGGCAAACCAAGTTAAACTTACTACTTTTTCTTGCAGATTGTACTTTCTGAACATGATCTATAATTTTCTATATGAACAATCACTTGACCATTCATATATAAATGCAGATTTGGGGCATCTTTCGATATTAATGGGAACAATGAGACAATGTAGATGATAACATTATACAGAAAATGTAATGGCTATCAAAATATTTTGCTAGATCTTATGAAATTAGAAAATGTTTGTGATACTAATTATAGTCTTCAGAACTTAAGACGAGCTAAATTAAGCCAGTGACTAGTCTAGTCTAGCATTCTGTGCCAGTGCATAATGAACAGATATTCAAACAAGAACAGAGAGATGATAGGCCTCTTCAACTTTTATTCTCTTAGGAGGTTTTCAAAATATTATGTGCAATTTATTTAATTAAATTCTTTATATTGCAGCAAAAGAAGCAATGGATCTAGGAAGATCCCCAATTATTATAGACAACACAAATACACAAGCCTGGGAAATGAAGCCTTATGTAAAAGCGGTAAATAAAGCAGCCACTTTTAATGGAGATTCACTTTTCTGTCTTAATATATAAATCTAATTTCTGTAAATGTATTAAACTTTTTTGTCATACATTTCATCATGTGTTACCTATGTCTTATTATGATCTATATAAATGTCAATAAAACTTAAAACTTTTACTGTTAAATGTGCTGACATTGAAGTACAATCTTATACATGTCTTCTTAAAATAAATCCCATTATACATAATAGAACTTATTTCCAAGTTAGTATATAGAGGATTGCAGATAAGATCATGAAAAGCTATTATTTCATGTTCCTTTTGTAACCGTAGTTCTTGTTTGCTTAGGCTCTAGAAAAAGGCTACCATGTGGAATTCCATGAACCAGATACATGGTGGAAGTTTAATCCCGAAGAACTAGAAAAGTAAGACTTAAATTATATTTCACTCATTTGAAAAAAAAATGTATGAGACTTCCATCTAATACAGTGGTTCTCAACCTTTTTAATGCCACGACCCCCCAACCGGTCGTAAGTCGAGGACTACTCAACTGGTGCAGCACCGTTTGCAGAATGGGACTTTTGGTGGGCTCAGCAGGGCAGAGACAGCCTGGACAATTCCTAGTGGCTTTTGAAAGCCAATAGAATTAGACTCTATTCAAGAGAGTCTATTCTATTGGCTTTCAAAAGCCAATAGAATAAAAGGGAGTAGCACAGCTAAGGAAAAGGGGGAAAAAATGACAGACTGCGTTGTTTGGCGACCCCCGTGAAATGGTCGTTGGACCCCAAATGGGGTCCCGACCCACAGGTTGAGAACCACTGATCTAATACTTCACTCATTTCCATTATTGTCCTTAAATATGCAACTTGAAACTTTTGAAGTTTTTTGTATAAACTTAAAATTATCTTTGTCCCTGCTCCAAGACTAATTTCTTTTCTAAGCTTTGTGAAATAGAACCACATACTGTGTTTTCACTTGGATATTTTATTAATTTTTAATTATTCTGATGCTTGTAATTAAGTAAGGTGGATGAGTTCGATTACAATGATAATGGGTGCATCTTTGAAACTTAGGATCAGATCATGGTAGAGAAAATTTGTCTATGTTGTCTCTAAGAGACAACTCCCAACTTCTTGGTATACAATCACTCTTATAATTACAGTTTCCTTTTACACTTACAGAGTTTCATTCACAATCTCTTTTTGTTATTCAGTTATCTTGATCCACAAATTCTCTAGGATACAGGTCGGCAACCTGCGGCTCCGGAGCATGCGGCTCTTTGAGCCTTCCCCTGTGGCTCCCAGCCTCCTCTGCCTTTGCAGAGAGAGACAGAGACAGAGAGAGGCAATTGCACTTCCCTACTTCTGTGTGTGTGTGTGTGTGTGTGTGTGTGTGTGTGTGTGTGTGTGTTTGTGTGTCTGTGTGTATGTGTAAAAGAGAGTGCACTCACAGTATTCTCCGAGGAGCTGAAAAGCTTACTGGGCGGAGCTCCTCCCTTTGCTGCATCTCTGCAGGAAGCAGGAAGCAGGAAGGGCAGGAGAGAGCTAGCTGGCCCAGCTAGGCTGACTCAGGAATTCTGGGAGTTGAAGTCCATGAGTCATAAAAGAGACGAGGTTGCTTGTTGGACAACAGCTTGAAGCTTGCCAGGTGAGCAGCAGATAGGAGGGGGGGGAGAGAGAGAGAAAGAGAGAGAGAGGGAGGGAGGGAGAGAGAGAGAGAGAGAAGAGAGAGAGAGAGGGGGGGGGGGAAGAGGAGTGGCAGACCAAGGGCAGATAGAGAGGAAGGGAGAGAGAGACAGAGAGAGAGAGAGAGAGAGAGACCCTTTTGACATCTAAAATGAAGATAACACTGCATATATCCTTTTTTTACCTGTATGTGTATGTGTGTGTGTGTGTGTGTGTATATATATATACACATATATACATATACATATATACACACACACATACATACACACACAAACACACACACACCTATAATAAAAGTAAAAAAGGATATATGCAGTGTTATCTTCATTTTAGATATCAAAAGGGTTTTGCGGCTCCCAGTGTTTTGTTTTTGGTGGGAAACGGGTCCAAGTGGCTCTTTAAGTGTTTTGGGTTGCCTACCCCTGCTCTAGGACTTGCAGGCTACATACAGGTCTTGTCAGTAATTTCCTCCAAAGGTTTATTCAAGTACTATAAATCCAATATATCAGTGGTACCCTGTGCCAGGATACTTGGTAGCAGTTAAACAAAGGAAATGAAGAAATATATCAGTGAGGAAGGAAGGAAGGAAGGAGAAAAGAAAGAAAAGAATCAAACTGTTCAAGAAACTATGAAGCAGCAGCCTCCAACAAAAAGTACTAATTTATGCCCCTCTTGATCTCTTCATTTTGTCTACTTAAAAAAAATCCTTGTTGGTACCTGCCTATTTGTTAGGATATTTATAAATACATAGGAAATTGGGAGGTTTTAATACATTTGTTTTATATGAAAAACATTCACAATTCATATTTGAGGCAGACAAAATGCTACTTTTTTGAACATCTTTTATGTTAAAAAATCACTGCTCAATTGCTATTTTTCCACTTCCTTGCAATCTTTTTTGAAGAACACAGACTGAAGGCATTCTAATAGGTACTCCAAGATTATCAGATTTTTATCTGTTTAATTTTTTTTGTTTGTTTTATAGGAGGAATAAACATGGGGTTAGTCGTGAGAAGATTGTGCAAATGCTGGAAAGATATGAATATCAAATCTCAATACCCATTGTCATGAATTCAGTGCTTCCTTTTCATAAAACTTCACAAAGACCATATTTACAAAGAAGACAGAGGTGGGGAGACAGTTTAGTCTCTTGGAATACTTTTAATGTATCACATAAACAAGGATATATTTAAGGTCAATTTTCTTTATCAATATTAGGTTGCAATATACACAGAGTTAAATCTATTGAAAAAACTTAATTCCTTGTTGATCTGTTTTAAATAATCAGTTAATTTCTTTTGTGACTAAAATAGGTTTAATGTAGATTAAATATCTTGGAATTATTTATAAAAATGTAAATGTTTAATATTAAAATGTTAAATACTTTCACATTTTATATTTGTACTAATCTTGATTTTACTGAAACTTGCGATAATGCAGATACATTAATCACTGATTTTTAGTGCAACATTTTACTTATACCACAAACTGCTGAGCAGTTTCTTTTTCTCAATAGAATATCATGAATTTTTAATAAACAAATAACAGTAGGGTAACTTTTAATATAGGAATTATATTTGAACTATTTTTTTTTCTGCTTTTAGTAGCATCTCAAGTTCTGCATATCTATTGATAACAGATATAATTATGAAGCTTATTCATCAAACATTGACATTCAGCTGAAGTTCTTATGTTTCCATTTTCTGATCTGTACAGAATTTTATCTGCAAGTTGTAAGTTGCAAAAGTGGTAGCAAAACTGCAGTTAAAATCTGTGACTTTGAATATCAGCATGCAGCATGCGGTTTGTATTCTTACAAATCGGTTTTCACGTAGAATTATCAAATTCTAAATCCACATTATTATGGTATGTTAAATGTGCCTTTTGATATGGGTGCATAATTTCCTTACAAAAGAATGAATACATTCAAATATGTTGAAAATGTGAAACTGACATTACTTACACCATATTACATTTGGCTAGGATTATAATATATACAATATCCAGTTCATGATAGGTTTGTGGCAGAATTCACGAAAGGTCTTTATGCCAATGCCATATAATAAATTGGATGCCTCTTTTTGCATGGTTTTATATTACTGCTTCAGCAATCCGGTCTCAGTGAAATTGAGTATTACATCAGGCTCCATTTCTTCATGGGAATCTTTGAGAGTTAAAGAGTAGCATGCCCTGTAAAGTTCCTATAAGTTATTAAGAACTATTGGTAGAAATAATTTGGCCTTCATGACTAAATTTTTTTAAAAAAATAAACTTATGCAGTGCCTAATAGCCAAGCTCAGTGATGAAATCTGAAAAAGTAAAAACATTTATTAAAGCAGCACCCCGAAATACAATTTAAAAACACGCTTCCATACTATTTCTAGATAATCAGATTATTAATAGAAACATTCACTTCGTCTCTCATGTCTAGGCCGACATGTTGTTTATGAATCTACTGAATTGTATAGAAAACTTTACTTATATTGTATGATTTTTTGTGAAACCTTCAGCATTCCACCACATGGAATTATACTTTGCTCTTTTAACAGTGAATTCAAATGTAGGGTAGGTAGATCATTCTACACCAGGAGTGTCAAACTGCTGGCCAACGGGCTGGACGTGTCATCCGGAAGCCACGCCCACTCCATTGCCGGCAATGGCAAAACCATCCCAATAGGTTGCACAACATCACACGACGTGAGTTTGACATGTCTGTTCTACACCTACAGAACTCTTATGACAACTTCACCCTCAGGTCACCCTCACCCTCAATTTCCAAATGTTCACCAAAGACCATGTTAGCTGGGAAGGGAAATGAAATCAACACATCTGTAGGGCTCCCAGATTGAGGAAAGGTACCTCATAATGTGGATGGAATATTATATTTATTAGTTAATACTATAGCTAAATGATTTTTTTTTTCAACCGTCACATTCGAGAACCCCAAATCTCTTTAACTACATGGTAATATCTGGCAATATTATCTACTGATGTGCAGTTTTGAGTATCTTTTTTTTCTACAACTCTACTTTTTTTACTTTTTTATTATTTATTATAAGTTTATACAAACATAGTTTTCTGTGTCGTGTGTTTCTTTTTCTTTTAAAAAATAAACACATAGAGGATTGACGCATCATGCAAATGAGACTCAAAATCCAGATTGAATTCTGGATATTTATTAATTTGTGTGTGTCCTAATCATTAATGTATTGCAAAATATGCATGTTAAAAACTACTAAATAGAAATAATTAAAAGATATTTTGGATAATTTACTGTTTAATTTCCTTTTTTTAAGTAGAAGAGGTTCTTATAAAAATTAAGTTCAGTAAGTTTAATATATTAAATTTTGCATTTAACAATGTGTGCTTATAACTATTAATTGGTATTTTGTAAGTTAATAATACATATTTGTCATTAGTAATATGAGACTATTGCCTTTGTTCATCTCAGCATAATTATGTTGTTAATCATGATATACAGAAACCTAGGGCAGGGGTAGGCAACCTTGGCTCTTTTATGACTCATGGACTTCAACTCCCAGAATTCCTGAGCCAACTATGCTCAGGAATTCTGGGAGTTGAAGTCCATGAGTCATAAAAAAGCCAAGGTTGCCTACCCCTGACCTAGGGAGATAACTTTGAGGCAAAGATTCTGGAACCTTACCTAAACAAAAAGGGCAAAAGCATTCCTTACGGCTAAAAAGGTATACTAAGAAGAAACTCAGGTTGGCTCCTTCCCCACTTACTGGGGAGGAAGGAGAGGAGACACACTATCAAATTTGCAAGATTCTGTTCTATGCTTGTCTCTTAATAAAATATAGCTCTAGTATTACGTACTGTGTTTTCTGTTCTGGTCTACCCCAAATGCCTGATAGGATATGCAGGTGGCTTTTCCTTTCAGGAATAGACATTATTTGTCCCAAATTAATTTGTACTTGTTCCTTTTAGCAGACAACGAGCTCCATTTTTTCTGTTTTTGTATTGATCGTCATCTTGTTCCCACAAAAGTGAAACAAGCATATGAACAAGCAAGGCAAGTCTTTATGTCAGTTTGAACGGATTGGATTCCAGCTTTAAAAAAAAAGTGTATATCCCAGTGCATATGAGGGACTTGGGTTGAGGAAGCTCACAAGGCACAGTTTGGTTCTCAATACTGTTTGACAATACTATCTGTTGATATTAGGTGCTTGGGGACTGGGTATCATCAATATGTTGATAACATTTGACTTCTGCTCTATAACATCAGAAACAGAAGAAGCTGAGTTGTGATTTAAAACTGGTATCTGAGTGCATTTAGGAAATAGATGAGGGGCAATAAATTGAGGTTGACTCTTGCAAGACCTTGTGGGGGATTACCAAATATGGGAGTTAAGAACTCACCTGTGGGTTTGTCTTCATTTAAGAAGCAGATAGCTTGGAAGTCTTTCTAGGGTCATGTCATCAGCTCCAGCACAATAGTTTAGGTCATCTGGGGAGCTTGTAACTTTAATTATACATCAGCTCCTGCTCCCTTTCCAGTATAGGTTAGTTTGGCTTTAATTATTCACACTCTGGTGGATTACTGTAATATTCTATGTATGGTACTATCACTGATTTTATTCCAGAAGTAATCACTAGTTTATTCAGTGGGATAATTTACAGTGCTCTCCAATTAGTTATTGAGATAGGTTAAAAGTTTTGCTTTTGACATAAGCTATTTGGAAGCACATATCTGACAGACGTAGTCAAGGAAGATCTTCCTGCATGTACTAAAAACAAACATTCTCTTACAGTTATTTTACAGGTGGCCCTTCCCTGCAAATTTGTAAGGACCTACTGTTACACCTTTTTTATACCTGTTGATAACTTGGCTTTTCTTCCAATATTTCACTGACTGAATGTTGTATTAATGTATTATTTTTGTTTTCCTTCTTTTTATAATTAATGTTACTTTTATATTGTTTTAGTTTTGTGGCTGTATTATGGAATCCAAATTGTTTTATTGTAAACTGCTTTTAAGATTTACAGTAAGGAAAAACAATATATACATATTTTTAATATTATACACTTAATTTATTTCTAGTATTTATACCCTAATTCTACAGGTAACAGTAATACATATATTTGCAAATTGAAATACTTAATAATATAATGCAATTAAAGTTTAATGTATTTTAAAGTTAAACTTTAGTTTATTTTAATCTTGCCTATCTAAAAATGGTGTATATAGATAGTTCTTGAAATAGTGGAGCTTGGCCATTATGTTTTCATGAGACAATGGTCTTGTGAAGCATCTTATTCAATAATCCTCCCATACCTGCTCTCCCCAATGAATCATTAAACAAATGTGTGGGTCACTAAGTAAAGCATGGGGTGCCTTAGAGCAGAGTTCCCCAACCTTTCTGGCTTGGCAGCCCGGAAGGAAAGGGAGCAGCAGGGAAATCTGCACGTATTCAGCCATGTGCATGCATGCGCAAACAGGCTCACACATGATGGTGCTAGCATACGCAAGTGGGCCACACATCCATGGTGTGCGCTAGCGCATGTGTGCATATGCAAATGGGACTGCTAGTGGCCACTCGGTAGTGCTATCACAAGTGGAGTGGGGCTTACCAGCTATTCCCGGGACCTAGTGGCCAACAGGCCCCGGCCCGGTACTGAGCCATGGTTGGGGACCTCTGCCTTAGAAGTAAGGGAGGCCCTGGGTGGCCTAACACAGGCACCTGCCTGCCTTGTCCAGCTCTCTGAAGGCCACCCCACCCCATGAGACACCCCTTGCACCGCTTCCCGCACCTTGGATCCCCAAAGGCCTTTTCCCAGTCCCACCAGGTTGCTCTTAAGAAAGTGCCTCAGTAAAAATTTCAAAGGACCCTCCTCTTCCCTCTCCTCCCCATAAAACTTCACAAAATGAACCAGTTGGCCAGCATTTCCAGTACCATCTGGTGCCCCAGCAGCAAAGAAGGAGTGATGGCATATATGAAGTTTGTGACTTCTATGGATAAAAAAAAGGGGGAGTCCCAAATGTGCAGTGGGAAAGTTGAAGGGCACAAAAAGAATGGGAGGAAAAGCAAAAAAGGTAGATAGGGAAGAACAGTTCTAAATTTATTTCCAACCAAACAACCCCACTGAGTCATCATTTCAGAGACATTTGCTTATCTAAACAGAAACAGAATGACCAAGGGTGGGCAAAGAAGCAATGGGAGCAGGAGCGACTTCTGACTTCCTGCTGGCTTCCCATTGAGTTTCCTTGAGGGAATCTGGCAGGAACCATCAGAGATCTTCCCTTCCCTATCCTACCCTACCCAACAAGCAGGTAAGTGGCTGTTGTTTGGTGGGGGAGTGGGTGATTGCAAGACAGAATGTTGAAAACAAAGATCAAGTAACCACAGCAGCAGCCCAACAGTGCAAAAGCAGCAAGTAACATTGAAGCAGCCACAACTTTTAAAAATTTCATTCCCTCAGCAGTCATGGGTCCCAGATTTTGGACACAATCTGCAAATTAGCCCATCTGAAGTCTCTTGGTTCAAAAATTGTTGATACGCTGTTTCATCTAGTTTAAAGTCATGATAGACAGTTTTAATAATACATAAATTTTACCCTCTTCTATTGTATGTTTGGATCTATCCTTGGTATATATTTTCATATGACTGTAAATAGACTTATGGGTTCTGTTCATATGGAGCTGAGCAGCTGATTAAAATCTTGATTTTGCTTTTCCCCAGAAAGACTATACACACAGAGACATAAACACTGTGTGTGTGATAGTTTAGCATATATACTGTAGCTTTTTATAGTGTACAAGAATTCTCTACTCTGATAAATTTGCAATCAAAAATCTGTCACAGGAAATCAAATAGAAAAGTGAAAGTGGAAATAAATACATAATTTACACTTAATTGACTGACGAACAGAAGAAGAGCCATGCTAGATGAGATCTAAGGCCAATCTGTTTCAACATTTCTGTTCCCATAATGTCCATGCATAAGTTCAGTTATGGAATTCTGTATGAATGGATGCATAAATTAGCAAGTTGATGTCAGCTAACATATTTTATGTGCTTCATTTAGGGATTACCCATAAACAATTTGAGAATAAGATGAGGTGAGGTCAAATAATATTAATAAACACATTATGTTAAAGGATGAAAACGATGACCATCCTTTCAGTTTTAAAACCAACTTGATTATATCCTCCCAATTTATGTATGTTATGTATCTTTTCAGGGCAAAACATTTCAAAATGGCACATGAGTAAAACTAGGAAATGGGCTAAACAATGTAAATTAACATTTTTTTTTCTTCAGACAGAAATCCACTTTAATGTAAATGATATTCTATGGATTTTACTAGAGTTTAAAGATATGAATGAATACCATACTGTATTTCAGTTAAAAGCAGATTGGAGCAGTTTGGTCTTTGATACCTATTTTTAAAATACCCATCTTACACACACTACCTCTTATACACATCTTGTAAGAGTACCATGATTAAATCATAATCAGAGAGGATATTTTTCTTTTGTCTTCCGTAACTAGAAAAAGTCATTAATTCTATATAATTAAGTTACAACTTGAATATATCTTTTGTACTAATGTTATTTTTCTGGTTAGAAATGCCTTCTCATGTAACAAAAAAATTATGATAGTAATGTTTCATGCTGGTGAACTGTATGCATATCATGCCAGCACTACAACCTATTCTGTTTTTAAGCTTGATTATCAGTACATTCTGCTCTTGTTATCTAAGATTTAAGTACAAAATGTTTTCTGTGGAATGTCTGAATATTTAGAAAAATGCTGTGAATCTGTTATTTGACATGATTAAAGTTGGATCACTCCATAGCTGTCTTAAGAGAATGCTCCATGGGTTATATAATTAGTCGTTAAATGTATGCCTGCATTAAGAGCATTCTTAATAATTTTTTATATTTAGTTCTTTATTCTATTTAGGGAACTGGTTGTAAAGAGGAAACACAGAGTACACAAGATAAAACAAAAAAAGAAACGAAGGAAGAACAGAAAAATGCAAAATGCTGTTATTACATCAGTGGACACAAAATCAGATGGACATTTAATTCCAAGTGATGGGGATTTATCAGGAAGTGAGCAAGAAAATTCAGAAGACAATGGACAATCAGAATTAGTGACTGGCCATCTAACTGAAGCTAAAATTGATAGTGAGAATGGCTCAACGAAATATAATCATTTACAGCTTTCTGAATTGCAAAAAAAGGAAATCCTTGATTCTGTTGTAGTAAATCCAGTGTCTTTAAAGAAGTCACTAAAAGCAGATATTACTGAAGATGTATCAATATCAATTACTCTAAATGAAAATATAGCTGGCCAATTATCCAACTGTCATTTATCAAATCAGATCAAAAACATACCACTTGCAGAATGTGACAGTAATACTTTAGATCATAATCAAAATTCATTTCAACAATCAGATCAAAATGATGCAAGAAAAAATACTGTATTGACTAATAAAGAAAATAAAAATACATCTGCTGAATATACATGTGACTTGGTCCAAGGAAACCAAATGTTAAGCAATGAAGAGGAAACAACTCTTTCACATCCACATGAGACTTCAAAAAGTAATGAAATTAGTTCCTGGGCTTTCTTTTCCTTTGATTTGGCTGATGAACAATTTCAGACTAAGACAGAGAAAGATGAATCCTGTTTGGCTTGGCCTGAGGATGTATCTAAAATCATGTTTGAGCAAAGACCAAAAAAGATCAAAAGATCTAAGAAGATGCTTTCAAAAGCAACAACAGAAGCAACTGATTATAATTTTAGTAAAGAATTAGTGAAAGAAAGCAGTGAAAGACTTCTGCATGAAAATAACAATACAACAATTACCTCTTTGTCATTATTACTGATGGAAAATAAGATATGTGATAATTCTAGTGAATTTGTCAGAGAAGGTGGAAGGAATACCAGTTTCACAACTGATGAATGTATATTAACTTTACCAAAGAAAAAAGAAAAATACAAAAGGATCTTCAAATTGGCCCCAAACTTTGATTTACCAAGGCATATTCCTCCTAAAAAGAATCAGAAAGTGCTAAACAATATATATGCAGTAAGAAAGAAAGAAGACATTTCAAATGAAGAAATTATAGAAAAGAATAAGCAATTCTGTGAACTTCGAGCATCTAATTACAATGCAGTAGTTGAATTTTCTGATTTTGATGTGGAACTTCCCTTACACAATGGTTCCAATCAACTTGCAGACGAATCTGTGAATATTTCCACAAAAGAATCTGATATTCCAATTCATATATGTACTTTTGCTTCATGTAAAGTTCCTTCACCAAGAGAACAAGATTTTTTTGAATTTGATGAAACAATAGAAATTAAAGAAAAGAAAAAGGTATCTTCAGATATATCAACTACCCAGCCAGATATTTTGCATTCAGTTAAACTAATTACTGAATGCCTTACAAACACCATGGCTGAATCATTTGAAAATATGGAGGTGATTAATGAAAGTGAACAAACAGTGAATTATCAGATCAAAGATGTTCAAGATTCCCCATATACAAAATACAATTTGGAACTTCCTTTATCACTAAGATTTGTTCTTCAACTAGTAGGACTTTTTGGTTTTCCAGGAATTCCATTAGGTAATTATTAGCTAAAATAAAGGAGAAAAATGTAGAATTTCATATAGTTGAATTTTTAAAAAGAATTTAGTAGTTTAAACTTTAGCATGCATTTTTAGCATCCATTGCCTTTTTATATAGAAATTAATTTTATTGCTTTACTTTGGGGGGAAAAGTGCCAGGTTCAAAAAACTGAAAATCCCATTTTGATGTTAATGATTAGGCTACCCCTTCATGAACTAAGAGTAACCTCATAAAAATAATGTGATTAATTTTTAGATTTCAGGCCTGCCAATTTTCAATTATTTTCTGTGTATTTAATTATTTTGCATGTTTCTTATCATGCCCAGTAAATGGGCACATATGTTCCACATTTGTTTAAGTAATGCCATAGTTCTTGCTTTTCAAACATTTAGTTCAAGTGAGAAGATTGATATTTTAAAAGTATTCCAGCCCTCAATGACTTTTCTCTTCAGAGAATGTTTTATAGGTAGGACTAATCAAACTATTCTGCGTGTGTTTTACTTATAGGAATAATGTCAGAAAATCACTACAACAAATAGTTTTCATAGTTTTGTTTACAGATATTCCTTACTCTGGTCATATGATTGTACTATTCAAATTGTCACCACACTGACAACAGATTAATTTTGTCAGTTAGCAATGCTGGAATTTTTAAATGAGACTTAGATTTTTTTCCAGGTAGCTTTACAAAGGATAGTATACAATATCACCTCTACCTTATTAATCTTTTTATAATAAATGTAAATGCTATAAACCACCTCATCTCATGTTGCTACAACATATAGACTGTGAAAATTAACCCATTGTATTGAATCAATCTTTGGCTTCTACTATAAAATTCAACTTACTACAGTTGGATCAACTGCTCCTTGGCTGAAAAGATGAGGGTGAAAACACCTACTACCACTGAGATGTCATCTTGCAGTTGCCTAACTCAACTTTCTTGGCCCAGTGAGCAGCAACATTCAAAGTCACAGCTGAACTCTGATGTAGCTGCAGGCCATTCTCTGACAATAATCCCCATTTTAAAACTTAAAAAACAGTTCCCAAATGAGTCATTTCATCCAAAGTGGAATAGTAATAGCAGCAACTGGTCTATAAAACCAACTGAGCCACGTTCATGATCACCATTAATGTAATACTATTCTTGCTATTGGGGTGAATTGATCACCATTAATGTAACACTATTCTTGCTATTGGGGTGAATTGTGGTTGTTTGTTCTTTCCAATCTATTACCTAAGACGAAAGGGCTCGTAGAGCCTTAAAAACTAATTATCTCTTTCCAAAGGAAACTGCCAGAACTCCAACTGTTTGTTTTAGAATGGAATATTCTGCCCACTTCCAAATGGTTCTGGTGGCTTCCAAAAAAACCCTAAACAAAAAAAAATCACACACACAATTGGCCAGTTACTATTCCCAGTCCAAGTATGAGAGACCCTCATGAAGAATACATCTTTTTTCACCCTCTCCTTGCCTAAATCTACCAATAACTGCTTGTTAAATTTAGATCTATCTCACTCATTTGCTCATCTTTCCCCTATTGTTTTGTAAAATCCATTTAGATATTATGGTTCCCAATTGTTCATATTTTTTCTATTTTTTTCTTTAATTACATCTTTTCCTTACTGCATCATATCTGTTGCAGTAAATTTAATATGTGGTGATGATGTGATAAAGGAGTTTAGAGACTGGATCAGTCTGTTTTGAGTGAATCTTGGTCTCTGGCTATATAGAAAGCCCTCTTCCATTTGGAGGGCTGCTGCTGATGGAGTAAGGGTATAATTTGGATAAGCCATCCCAGATGTTTTTAAAGAATGGAGAATATTTCCTGCCCTTTTTGATCAGAGGTAGTCCTTGACTTACGACCATAATTGAGCCCAACATTTCTGTTGTTAAGTGAGACATTTATTGAGTTTTGCCCCATTTTACAACTTTTCTTGCCACAGTTGTTAAGTGAATCACTGCAGTCAATAAGTTAGTAACCTGGTTGTTAAATGAATCTGGTTTCCTCATTGACTTTGCTTGTCAGAAGATTGCAAAAGGTGATCACATGACCCTGGGACACTGCAACAGTCATAAATAAGAACCAGTTGCCAAACATGTTAATTTTGATCATGTGACCATGGGGTTGCTGCAAAGGTAACTATGAAAAATGGTCATAAGTCATATTTTTCAGTGCCGTTGTAACTTTGAATGGTCACTAAATGAACTGTTTGTAAGTCAAGGACTACGTGTATTTCATATTTGACTACTGCAATTATAACAAAAGTTTTCTATCCTGGATTACATACCTTCATTTATGCAGCTGTTCCAAAGGGTCTGGTATATAAACTAATGACCAATTTCAATAAACAATAAATCAAATCACTCTGCATATTTTACTTACATTGCTACCAATATAATATCTCAAATATTTTTTAAAAAATGTTCTAGCTTTCATTTCATTCAGCACCAGACCCAGTTTTAACTTAATAAGCCTTAATTAAAAAAGTGATATGTGCAACTATGAGTCAAGCTTTAGTAGCTCAGTTATCTTGCACATTCAATGTATGCCATTAATTTTAGCATCATAATTAAATAATGTGATCTTAGGCTAGTGCCACCTGCAATCAAATGACCGTCACACCTATTTAATGTAAACTTTCAAACCTATCGCAGATTAAAGATACTTTGTGTGATCTTGTTTTGTAGATACTTTATTACCAGATGATTATATAGTTCCTCTTGACTGGGCCATATCAAAGGAGATTTATCTACAGTGGAAGACATCTGTGGAGGTATGGCCATTACTCCCCTGTATTTTATACAAAATAATTGATGGATGTTAGTCATCTGTAAATTATACCTAGTAATTTATGCAATGATAGATACACAGTAGTTGTTAGACAACAGCAACAGCACTTAAGACTTCTATACCGCTTCACAGTGCTTTACAGCCCTTTCCAAGCAGTTTACAGAGTTAGCATATTGCCCCCAACAATCTGGATCCTCATTTTACTGACTTCAGAAGGATGGAAGGCTGGGTCAACCTTCAGCTGAAGGGAGTGAACTGGCAATACTGCACTCTAACCACTGTGCCACCACAGCTCACGACAAAATGGATGTGATATTGGAAAAAGCATTGCTTGTTCCTTCTGTCAGGTCCTACCTTGCTAAAGAATGGTGTTTTTTTTCCTGTGGACAGAAGAAATTTACGATACATACAGCATTTTTCTTTATATGTTATTACAGAAGAAACAGGAAAATAACCTATTGAAAGAGAATTCTTTGCGTGGTGAGTACAATTTTGTGACTTTTTATCTGATTTATAACCAGCAACAAAATATTTGCATTATATAACATTGTAATAAGGTAAAAGTGGTGATACTACACGAATGTGTAGAGCTGAGTAAGCATGCAACCATAGATTGATGCTGGGAACTGGGAAACCTGTCCTGCTCCTTCTGGTGAAAGAACCTGACCAGCATAGATACAAAGGCATGTAAAATCCTTACGCTGTTTTATACTGTCTCTTTATCTGTAGTTGCTGCAGCTACTTTCCAGAATTCAAATAAGTATGGTCAAGAAAGAAAATCTTCAGAAATAAACTCAGAGATGCATTTGGAAGAACCATCAAAACTCTGAAAAAATGTTTCAAGCTACATAATCCAAGCAATAATGAAATTTTATTTTAAAAAATCAACTTTTTTTTTGCAGAAAGGTAATTTCTTCCTGTGTTTTGATTCTGTTAGCTCAAAGCTTTCACCCATTCTGAACTATGAAATTCATAGACTGAACCCCCATAGAGTGAATATGGTTGCTTCTGGTTTTGCTATAGTCTGTTGTTGAGGTGAACTTTGCATTGTAGAAGAAATGAGGGGGGATAAAGAAAAAAGAAAAGGAATGGAACGGAATGGTTTGTTTTAAAATATTAACAAGAAAAAAAGTGGGATTACCAAGAGAAGATTAATATTATTACTGTGGTAATAGCAGGCTCCTATATTTTTTAAAAGCCATAATTGCTGAAGATGTGTACTATTTAATATTGATGAAAACCCATAGCTGAGTGTGAAAATCTTCCAGCCCCTTACCACTCTGTTAAAGAGGACCATTGTATTTCCTCAGTTTTTGATTCTTCCATCCCATTTGTCCCCTGTAGGTTATTTCTAACCAAATTGTGCCACAACTCCCTTTTCAACAGCATTGTGCAATCTTTTCCAGAACAAGGGCACCTCTAACTTATCAGTGGCATATCAGAGGCTGTATGTGAAAAGTAGATAGCATGAAAAAGAGTAGGTGAATCTGGCATGGAATCTAAATTGGATTAATTTAATTTACATTTTATTGTAATTTAAATTAATTATATTCCGTTAATAGGGTTATTTCCTATGTATTTACTTTCCCTCTTCCATCCCATTTTTAAAATGCAGTTTTTAGGAACTACGGTACCCCAAACACATTTTTAAACTGTCCCAAACTAGAGAGGTTTAGGCAGTCATGCCCCAAACTTTCAAGGACCATATGTAATGTGGGGCCTGAAGTGATGTACCTTTACAGCAAAACAAAAATACAGTAATTCTTAACTGTTTCCTGAACAAAAAGTACTGTTTCTTCTACCTCCTTCAAATTTCTTTCTTCAGATTCTTGGTTTAACTCCTCATATTTATCCAAAATTTTGCTGAGATAATTGGTTACCTTTCTGGTTCTTTGATCCCAATATGCCCGCCTTAGACAATTGCAATAGTTGTTAGTGTCCTTCAAAATCTCACGCAGATGTTTTTCCTTACCTTCAAATTCCTCCATCACCATCCTTTTCATCACTTTATTCATACAGGTAGTTCTCACTTAATGACTAGTTGCTTAATGACCATTCAAATTTATGACAGACACCACCCCCATCAAAAGGTACTAACGACTCAGGTTCAAATTCTAACAGTCGCCTCCCCAGTCACATGATTGCATTTTTGGTACTTGGCAACTGGCCCACATTTATGACCTCCCATGGTCATGTGACCACAATCTATGAAGCTTTTTACCAAAAACTGGCATTTACCTGCAGTTTCTGGCAAAAACCACATTGTGAACAATAGGTTCCCTTTAAAACAGTGGTTCTCAACCTGTGGGTCGCGACCCCATTTGGGGTCGAACGACCATTTCACAGGGGTCGCCAAACAACGCGATCCGCCATTTTTTTCCTCAGCTGGTGCAGGGGGCGCCGCCGCGCATGTGCACCGTGCAGGGGGTGGTGCAGGGGGCGGCGCTGCACATGCGCGCCGCACAGGGGGTGGTGCAGGGAGCGCCGCAGCGCATGCACGCCGTGCGGGGGGGCACCGCGCATGCGCACCGCCTCCTTATGACCGGGGTCGCCGGTATAAAAAGATTGAGAACCACTGCTTTAAAACACCACAAAAAATGTCATAAAATCGGGTTGGTCATGTGATGGCCTGTTTAAAAATTGGAACAACTTACTACCGTAATTATGGACTCAGTTGAGTTGAGGACTATCTGTATCGGGTTGCATCCCTATCTACCATCCTCCATTGACAGGACCTCGTTCCCTCAGATTCTGGTTTTGTTATCCTGTATGTTTGGAACTTCTTGGAATACTGCCATGATACCTCTTTTATTTTCTATTTCAAAACCAATCTTTTCATTAAACCAATAATTGTCATGTGATATTCTTATCTAAACCTCAGCTTGTGACACTGAAACAACCACATTTTTGTTTCTCCATGACACCTGTTTTCTGTTGAATTTTGAATTGTAAGTTCTTGCATAACTTTAAAATGCCTTATTAACACTCTCTAAATATTTTTATTTGTGATCAGAGCATAATATTTGGCTATTAGTTAAGCTATTCTGTACAAAGCAGATGCAAGAAAGGTAATTATCCAGAGGGAAAGGTTATTTAACAAAACTACCATTATAATAATGTGGAGAAATGCATTAATTGGTAAGTTAAAAATAGCTAAATTTTTGTTTGCAGCTGAAGCATAAAATTATACATAAGTCGTAATAAAATAAGATGTCAATTTTATTTAATTGTAATTGTTAATATATGAATTATAGTTTGGATGGATGAGATAGTTGTAATACTTAGGTCTTAGATCTTTCACTAGTTTTTATATTATTATTATTATTATTATATTACAGAATGTGCTTGCTTTTTGGCTTTCCCTTGGGTGGTCTCAAATTAACAACCATTTATAATAAAAATAAACCACAAGAATCAGCAACAGTACAAAGCATCAAACCTTTTGAATCCATATCTGAGTCATCTGCTCCTTTTGAATTTCATGTTCAAATAAAATTGTGAAGAGTGATTGTCATTGTTAAATGGGCAAAGTTAAATAAAGTGGCTTCAGCTGTTTAAGTCATGTATTTATGACCCTCCAAAATTAAGCGATATAATATCATAGACTTGGAAAGCGCATGCAGGCCCTCAAGTCCATCCTCCAAATGAAAGTCATATCTGGCCCAAGGTCTCTATCCAGCCTCTTCCTGAACATATCCAATGAGAGAAATTCCTCTTTATGAATTACTGTGTAACTCCTCATACCATTAGAAAATTTCTGCTAACATTTAACTGGAATCCACTTGCCGTTATAGTAAAACCATTATTCTATGTCCTGCACACTGGAACAAGAAAACAAATTATAATTGTCTTCTATGTGATGCCCCTTTAGTGCTAGAAGGCTATCTTATGCCCTTTAATAAGCATTTCACAAAGCTAAACAGACATGTCCTTATATACCTTAGTTTCTAATCCTGCAATTATCCTTATTGCTTTTCTTTATATCTCTTGATTTCTCTGAATCCTTCTTAAAATGTGCTATACAGAACTGGACGACATACCAAAGGTAGGACAGAGCTGAATTATTTATTTCCATTCTTTCTAAACTATATTCCCATTATTTTAATCTATGAGTATGACAAGTGGTACAATAAAACACAAATACCCATGCACACAGACAAATAGAAATGCAACTTGATGGGCATTTAGTTGTAGTTTGCTTTCAGGTTAAATAGTGCATGGTGTATTGCTCTGGTACAATGCAAGTATATAAAGAGATAACTTGCTACTTCATTATAAGAACAATAATAGAACTCTAAGGAAACGGAGAGAAAGAGAGGGGAAGAGGAGAAGGGAGAGAGGTAGTAGTAGCTGTAGTAGTTAAATAATACTGGGCAACCAGTAATATTTAACAATTGGAAAAGAAAAGTAAAATAACCAATGTAGTACAGAAAAATAAAAAAGACTGGCAAATTAAACAATACTATAAATAAATGCAGAAATTTGTTGATGTGTCTGTTTAAAAATATTTTCTGTTCATACATTGTAATTGTTTAATTGTTCATAATTAAGTAGTTCTTTGAATAAATGCGAAGCAAAATACAATAAACCCTTGTGTCTAAAATATTCTACTGTCAAGAAAAGAGCCAATATGAGAACATATAACTAATATCTAAAATTCTGATATTTATCATTTGGAAGTTGGATAGTAATATTTTAAAGAATTTTTCATCTCCAAAATACTTAGAAGAAATTACCAATTCTGCAGAAGGATCTATTTAGAAGGGACCTTGGAGGTCTTCTAATCCAGCCCTCTGCTTGAGCAGGAGAACCTATACCACTTCAGACAGGTGGCTGTCCAGTCTCTTCTTAAAAACCTCCAGTAATGGAGTGCCCACAATTTCTAAAGGCAAGCTGTTCCACTGGTTAACTGTCCTGTCAGGAAGTTTCTCCTTAATTCCAGGTTGCTTCTCTCTTTGGTCAGTTTCCAACCATTGTTTCTTGTCCTGCCTTCTGGTGCTTTGCAGAACAGTTTTGACGCCCTCTTCTTTGTGGCAGTCCCTCAAATACTGGAATACTGCTATCATGTCATCCCTATTTCTTTTCTTTAGACTAGCCAAACCCAAGTCCTGCAGCCGTTCTTCGTATGTTTTAGTCTCCAGGCCTTTGATCATTTTAGTTGCTCTTCTCTGAACTTTTTCCAAGGTCTCAACATCTCTTTTGCAGTATGGTGACCAAAATTGGTTGCAGTGTTCCAAGTGTAATCTTACTAGGGTTTTATAAAGTGGTACTATGCGTGATCTTGATTCTATGCCTCTGTTTATACAACCCAGGGTTGTATTATCTTTTTTGGCTGTTGCTGCACACTGCTGGCTCATAGTCAACTGATTGTCCACTAGGACTCCAAAGTCCCCCTCACAGTTACTGTTTTTGAGCCAGGTCTTGCCTAGTCTGTACTTGTACCTTTGATTTTTCCTGCCTAAATGTAAAACTTTGCTTTTCTCCACATTAAAATGCATTTTGTTGGATAGAGCCCATTGTTCAAGTTTGTCAAGATCTTTTTGGATCCTCAGCTTGTCTTCTGGGGTGTTGGCTATTCCTGCCAGTTTGGTGGCATCTGCAAATTTGATGAGTTCCCCTTCTATTCCCTCATCTAAGTCACTAATGAAAATATTAAAGAGTACTGGGACTAAGACAGAGCCCTGTGGTACCCCACTGTTTACTTCTCTCCATGTGGATGTAGCACCATTGAGGACTACTCCCCGAACACGATTTGTCAGCCAAACTACTCTACAGATCCATCTGATGGTGGTATTGTCTATCCCACCTTTTTCTAGCTTACTAAGCAGTAAGGCATTTCACTTTGTCAAATGCCTTACTGAAATCTAAGTATACTATGTCCACAGCGTTTCGCTGGTCTGCTAATTTAGTCACTTTATCAAAGAATGAAATATGATTGGTTTGGCATGATCGGTTTTTAATAAACCCATGCTGGCTGCTAGTTATAACTCTAGTTGCTTGCAGATGTGTTTTTTGATGATCTTTTCCAGAATCTTCCCCGGTATTGATGTTAGACTGATTGGTCTATAGTTTCTTGGGTCTGTTTTTTTTTTTTCTTTTCTTGAAAATGGGAACCACATCAACCCTTTTCCAATCATCAGGTATTTCCCCAGTGCTCCAGGATTTTTGAAAGATATGGTGCAACGGTTCTGAGATAACATTTGCCAGCTCCTTCAGAACTCTGGGATGTAATGTCAGTCCCTGTGAATTCTGGCTAAATGAGTATGATTTTGTTACAGCACCAACTATATTTGTTTACTATAACAAAAAGTTTTAAATAAGTTCACTAGTCCTGAGTAATAGGAAACTCTTTGTTTTTCCACCCACTCAAATGATCCAATTCCAAATACTTGATAGAGATAAGTAACCAAGCTCATCAATTGCAAAATAACCAGTGGATGTTTTAAAATATTGTATTTACATACGATGTGTAACATTTTTGGAGGTAAAAGACTAATTGATAGGCATGGGAAAAAATAAACTCTAGGATTAAATGACACAAACTACATACAGATTAGTTCTGCAAGCAGAAATGTACAGTATACAGAGATAATCCGGGTGATTTTTTGTAATAATTGCCAATAACACATTCAAAACTAGTTAGCGAATGATACTGGCAGCTGTCCGATGGCAGAGAATGCGACAAATGGATACTGTACGCAATTTAGGGATATTGTTCAACGCTTGTCAATATAGCTGCGCTCTTCGGTGGCTCCTTAACAGTTCACCCAGGCTCCGGAAGGGGCCTTCACTCCCCAGAAAGACGACACCCTTTGCCACGTAATTGTTGCCCTGATATCTGCAGCCAGAGTTGGCGGCTCTAACGTCCTACTATCGTTGGCTGCAATCCTATCCACCCGTTTTGCCCAACCTATCGCAAGCCAACCGCTGCCTGGTTGCTGGATTAATAGTTTGGGGGGGGGAGCCAAGCCCACTCAACTGCGTGATCCCAGTGCCCGAGCTGACTTCGCAGGAGCCTCCATCGGCTTGACCTTTTCTGTCTGATTGAGCTAAGTTTAGGCAGGGCCCTCCTGAGATTGAGGTTCACACATTAGTTAGCGGGGCTGACTCTAGTTCTCCGCCCAAGGTGCCGCGCTCCGGCCTTCCTCCAAAGCGCCGTCCTCTGAGGAGGTGTCCAAGGCACCACTTTCGCTTTCAGCCGGCTCCTTTGGCGCTGCCCCAACTCTGCTCCGGGGAAACGAGGGCGGGGCGGAGCGGGGCGGCGCTGCCTATCTCAGTCACGCGGACGAAGGCCGTGTAAACACCGCCAGATGGGTCCGCCGGCGGCAGAAATGAGCAGGCTGTTGTTCCCGCGGTCACCGTCCTGCCGCTATGGAAGATAGCCTGGTCCGCGCCTTCGGGGGCCTCAGCCTCCAGCAGCCCCGCCGTGCCCGAGGCAGGCCCCCTGCTCGCCGCTTCAGCAAAAGCCTCTATTTGCTCCGCGGCCTGCCCGGGTCAGGCAAAAGTACTCTGGCCAGGTAAGCGTGTCCCGGCTGCAGCCATTCCCGCTTCCTTTAATAGGTCGCGCCTGGGGGGAGATCCGCGGGAGGAAGCCAGCACGGCTCGGTAGTGGGGCCGCCGGGCGACACGGAAGGCGACTTCGAGGGTCGCCAGGAGCGATCTGAGATCTGGCGGCGAAGACCGCGGCGGCTTTGCAGGAAGCGCCGTCTCAGCCGAAGCCGCCTGGCCCGAGTTGATAACGAGGTAGGCGGTTAGTCGCTGGGCGGGGTGCGAGAAGGAAGAAGCCGTTGTTCCGCTTTTGGATCCCCCCCCACCCAATCTTAAATCTAGTGGAGAGTTATCTTAAAGGAACAGGAATGTTGGGCGTGGGCCAGAGAGAACTCGGAGCTAATCGGGGAAAGCAGAGAATAATGCGGAGAGTGGGGGTGGGCGCAAAGGGTACTTTTACCTCTCGGATCCGTCCTTGTACTCTGAAGTCCATCTTAACGCCTGCAATGATAAGAAAGGTTAAACGTGACGGGATGAAGAGTTAGTAAATGTAAGGAAGCAGCCGTAGCTAGGTGGGTCAATGAGAACACCATCTTTTTAGCTGAAATTTGTGTGCCACCCATTCTTCAAACTCTGCAACTTATTTGGCAACGTTGCATTGCTATGTTTGGGTTGCCCTGAGGTGGTGGGTGATTTTTCTCCAGACTATGCAACTATTGGAAGGGGCAATTGCCACCCACTTGTATATTTGATAGAATTTATGCCTGTTTTGCCTGCTGTGGTTTGGAGAAGTGATTAGGTTGTGAGAATGCACTGTGAAAATGGAATATTTATTCTTTCCATTATATACAATACTTTAGCATTGAGCCCAGTGAAATTAGTTAATATATTTTTTTCATAGAACTTAAATTTTAGATTGGCAGCTGAACCCGGTCAGCATACATAGCAGCTACTTTGTAACTTCAATAAATATTTCACACTGAATGCATATCAAAAGGTCACTGCTTGTATACAAGGAAGTATACATTTTGTCATGCGCTAATAATCCCTGACAATTTCAGACAATGTTTATTTTTAGTTCTAGAAAGTGAAGTCCAGACTGCATATGCCAGGGATAAAAATTAGATATCAAAAGAATTTTGTGCAAGTTGTGTGCATAATTTACTACTAATGATCTAATGGTTTGAGCTGTGTAAAAGTTCCATAACTGACAATTTTAATTCTTATTTACTAATTTGAAGAAGTATAACAAGCAGCAGATTTAAGATGAGCAATAGGAGTGTGATAAGAGTGCATTTGGAGAATTGTAATTTGTAATTTACCTTAATACTGGCTCTATTTAAAAAAAATAGTTCTCAAAAATTATTTTACTTTACTGACTGAACAAACTCGATAATTTTGATAAGAAAATGATGCTATAAACAAAACCAAAAAGCACATGCCAAACTGATCTTTCAATATTATGCAAATATTCACAAATCAACCTAAGTCAACAACTAACAGTATAAAGCAATCCATATATGTGATGAATTGAAATAAATAAAAAGAGAAAAAGAGTGGGAGAAGAAAATGCCTGGAAATGCCTAGCATAAAAGTAATTCCCTTAAATTTGACAAATTGAAAGAGCTGCTATGTTCCCTTTGACCATATATTTCATTGCTGCAATTCGGGTGTACTAATCTTCAGGATTTGAATGTAAAAGAAGCCCTGGATTTCAGTTCTGTTTAGCAATTATAAAGACAGAGCAGGTCCTAAATTTAATTTTTATTTTCTATTCTGTGCCAAAATGGAATGCATTTTGGAAGGGTATTTCTGAAAAGATAGAGCATGTGGATAATTGAATGTAAATATTGGGGTCCTCTATCTCAAATCCCTAGTGGAAAAGAGCATTGAAGAAAAGCTGAACTTTAATGCATCATGAAAAGAAAGCTATGCTATCTTTATAAAATATGTACTACTGTTTATGAAAGGAAATTTTATACTTAGCCAACAAAAACCAAATGCACAGGTATAGAATAGGCAGTAACTGTTGAGTAATCTCAGAGTCCTAGTGGACAAGCACTTAAGTAAGAACCAGCAATGTGCTGGAGCTGCCAAAAAAGCCAACACAGCTCTAGACTGCATCAACAGAGGGATGGTATAAAGATCATGTGAAGTGTTGCAGGAGAAGAAGTAATGGATAGAAATGAATCAAGGAGGGAACCAACCTATAATTAAAGAGAAATTTCCTGACAGTGAGAACAATGAATCAGTGAAACAGCTTGCCCCCAGAAGTTGTGGGTGTTCCATCACTGGAGGTTTTTAAGAAGAGATTGGACAGTCATTTGTCTGGAATAGTATAGGGTCTCCTGCTTGATCAAAGGGTTGGCCTAGAAGATCTTCAAGGTCCTTTCTAACTCTGTTAAATAACTGTTATTGTGATGTGTTCTTGTCAAGCAAGACATTATGGAGTTTTATCTAATGAAATGTAGCTGAATTTAGTGGACTAATCAATATTATTTTAACTGAATTTAAGTTCAGACTTAATCTGGATTTAATCAGATTATTGAACTTTTTGGGGAAGAGAGAATTGTCCTTAACTTTTTCCCTTTGAAGATGGAAATAGTTATCACCTATCCATGGATTAACCTAGCTTTTTTGATATCAGCCAAGGCCAGCAGTGTTTTATCTGCTGGGTCATAGATGAAGATAATATACCAGTCTTGCAAGACCTTGTGAGTAGGAGAAAATTTCGACTGGCATTGTATCTTTCAAATATAGAGTGAAACTTGCCTCAGAAAGCCAACAGAATTAACATCCTGACCTGGGTGTACTAAACCATTGTTTAAGAATCATTTATTAACTAAACCACAGTTATCTGAGTTCACAAATATATGCCCAGAACAAATAACACTTTAACGTAGCATAATGTGTGAACTCAACCGCTATGTATTGGTATTCCTAATATTGTATATGTTGGGCTATTATTTTCATCCTCCCATGCTGATTATTTAAACTAGTATTGTGACTTAGGAATTGTGAGATTTCAGTCTTCCAACTTGATGCTTCTCAGAAGTGTTTGATTTCAATTCAGCTTCTGGGTAGACTTTTAAAGATCATATTGCACAACTTTTGGGACTTCCAGAAAGGAATTACATATGAAGTATAGTTGTTTTGAATGGATATTTGTGCTGAAATGAGGGAATATCTGGTTTTGTCAGCTTAGTTTGCAAATGTACTGTATTTTGCTTTCGACTGTTTCTAGATATGCCAGGAATCATGGCAACATTATACCCTTATGTGGTGTGTCTGTCTGTCTATCTATCTGTCTGTCTGTCTGTCTGTCTATCTATCTATCTATCTATCTATCTATCTATCTATCTATCTATCTATCTATCTATCTATCTCCAATGTACTGAGTTTATGTTCTTTATATTGCTTTATATGTGAGTGAAGTGACTTCCTTTGTTTAATTTGGAACTGTTGCTTCTTAGATATAGGCTGCTGACTTTTTTATGAACAAAAATCAGTTATAAGGACTACCTTTAAAGTGCTGTGTATCAGGGATCCCCAATCCCCGGACTGTGGACTAGTACCGGGCCGCGGCATACCAGCAACTGGTCTGCACAAATAAGCAAAGCCCCATCCATGGGATGCAGGCAGCACACAAAACCACGCACCCTCCAGTCCACAGAAAAACTTCTCTCCATGGAATTGGTCCCTGGTGCCCAAAAGGTTGGGGACCTCTGTTTTAGAACATAATCATCCAAGTTATTTTTATTGTTACTTTGCACAGAACAAATACACAGTGATTCAGAAATTTATGCATCAAATTCACTGAATATCCCACCACAATCCCAAGGTCTCTCGGTGCCTCACAAAAATGAGCACACATCATAACAATACAGAAACATAAGATGATTAAAACACCCAAATAATTCATGGCATCAGGGCTGAAAAGCTCCATCTTCAGCTTTGTCCAGAACGCAACCCCTTGAATGATTTCCACACTTTTTCACAGTAATAATCAGGCAGCAAATTGGACGACCTCTGATGGCAACATGAAGACTTTGGGAGAGAAGCTTCAGATTGTACACCTCTGCCCTGCTATAATGTAGCTGTAGTTAATTATAAAAATGCATTTGTTTGCTCAAGTAATTGCAAAAATGAAAGTATTGCATTTGACACTTATACCAAATGGCATTTAAGTGGTAGAAGTTTTTCTTTTGTGGCATCACGTTGTTGGATTTAGTGGTGATAACCAATCAGCACTTTGTTCTTTCTTGTTTGCTTGTCAGGCAACTGAAACGTGAATTTCCTAATGCAGTCATTTTTAGTACTGACGAGTACTTCATCACAGAAGATGGCACCTATGAATTTAATCCTGATTGTTTGAGAGATGCACATAAGTGGAATCAGGAAAGAGGCATGTATGGCTGATTCTCCTTAACATTCCTCTTTATCTACTTTATCAAAGTGGCTTTCTAAAAGTTGATTAGAACAAAGCATCACATAATAGAATTAAGAACAGAATAATTCTAATTCTAAAATGAAAATTGATATGCTTACTGTTTAAAGACTTTCTGATATGGAAGCTAAAAACTACATTGCATTATGATGTTTGGCATGGCTCTGGGAAATGGATTCCCTCTGCCAATTCTATGATAACTTCCAACTGGCTTCCAGGAGGATATTGAAAAATGGGTAGAAGTAAATGAAAAATAACTTGGACCCCTCCCCCTTCCCAAACATTTTGATAAATTGTAGGACAGAAATGGCCATCTGGAAACATGAGCCTAGAACAGATGCAAAAAATATACTAGGGTTAGAAGGGTTACCTGAGTCTAAAGATTTGCTTTGACCTTAATTTTTCTTAGTTCATTCCATTTTTACTTTGATTGCCAATATATCTTTGCACTATTTTCTTTTCAATATAATGCAGTTAATCCAGGTACTTTACAGTTAACAATACAAACATTTCCTGCTACAAGCTGGGAAAGCAACTCTGATCTGTATGGAGTTAAGGAGCTTCTTAGATGTATTTTTGCAGAACCATTGATTTAGATTGCAGTGAAATCTAGATTCCACATGTTGAAGTGAAAAAAGATGCAAAAAGATGTAACATTTTATTTTGGTATCATAAACTCTCTTACCTGATCAAAATTTGTCTAATATATGCCTACCCCAACTACAAAAATACTGCCTATCTCCATGTTACACCCTAAACATGAAGCTTGCCAGAACAGGAATTAACTGATTTCTTATATCAGCAATTAATGTATTTGCTGATTTTAAATGTAATGAGCAAGGTTTTCTAGTTCAGATGAATTAGAAATTGCAGTTGATGAAAAAGCTTCTGGATTAATTACACCAAGCTGAAAAGTGATAATAGGAGCAATGTGAGAATAAAAAAATATGAACATAATGCTAGTATTCTTCATTAGTTTATATATAAATAGTTATATAAATATATAGTTTAAATTTAATCACTTCTTGGATGAAGAAAAATGTATAAAGAGTACATTTTTATCATTTTTGTACATGGGAATGCATATTTTTATTGCATATGTCTTGAATAGGATATGGAAGCATTACAACCAAGCACATTTAATTTTTTTTAAAGTAACAGTTTATCTGGTCTTCCATCCATAAGTGTTTCCAAGTGAATATACGTAGCATTAAAACTAATGTATCATAACAAAATTACAATAGGTAGAAAAATAAAAGTTATTAATCATAGTAAAAAGTCTAATATTAGTGGTGATCAAAGTCACCCACATTTTAAGTTTCAAAATGTTATTTGTTTAAATTTATTTAATTTATATCCCTGTCATGGTTCTGACAGATGAAACTCCTTGAAGAACTTCGAGGCATTGTTTACCTTAAAGAATCTTTATTCGAGTAGCATAGTAACAGCATGTACATAGGCAAAGCCAAAATCTGAATTCCCCTCCCCTGAGCACATAGTATCAAAGCACAATTCCCTTCTCTAAACAGTCATAAATCACATTCTCCAATCAACCCGCCATTTCTTATCATCTCTTATTTCAAAAATCTTGGTTCTCACCCTAGTTACAATATTGTTATGTCTAAATAAACTCTCATGCACATTCCTCCCCCCCCCAGTATCATCTAATTCTAACTCTAACTCTAAGAGTAAAACATAAGAAGGAAAATGGCTGCATCTCCATATGTTGTCAAAGCAAGAACATCCGATGTTAGCTTTTGTTATTTTTATAAACAACTCAAGGTGGTGAATCTATCTAATGCCACTTCTTCCTCCTGTTTTCCCTACAACAACCTTGTGAGGCGAATTGGGTTCAGAGAGAGTGGCCCAAAGTTACTCAACAAGTTTTCATCAGTAAGGCAGGACACGAACTCAGAGTCTCCTGGGTGCCTTAACCATGAGACCAAATGGACAAATAGAAGTATTTTAATATAGATCAGAACAGGAAAAAACAGTGCCAATTATATTTCTCTGAAGAGTCCTCATAATTTGAAAATATCATCACTGCTCAGTGGCAGCACTATTATAATGGACCCTGGTGACCCTGCTTTGCTATGTGGGTTAAAAATCAGGTCTGTTGCTAAGTGCCTGGAAGCTGGCTTATTAGATTGGCCTTCCACTTTTGTCTAATATCATAGGGCAACGGTAAGAGGTTGGGAATTTTTGAGTTGCAAATATAATTCTTGTCCCTGCAGCTCTCAGTAGAGTAACTGGTGAGATTTATTTATTATTATTCATTATGACAGTTGACTTTTCTTCTGTTTCTTCTATTAAGAAAGCTCAATTTAGCTTTTCTGTACTACAGTATTCTTATTATATCCAGTTTTAATGTGTTCTTTCTTTTCTGTTTTAATCTGAAGATATAATGTCAAAAAATATGAAATATGCTTCTTGAAAGTCCTTTGCAAATTATATCTCATACTTATTTGTAATGTAAATAGCCAATACTTCTGTTGCAGTCAAGCCCCCCAAACAGGTTGTCCTAGCTTAGTGATTTGCAACTGTGGTACAGGCCCTGGAAATCTCAAGTTCTTTTGTTATCTGAAGGATTTAATATAATTATCTTGATAATTATTATGTTACAGCACATAAAGCTATGAAGAATGGGAAATCTCCAGTTATAATTGATAATACCAACATCCACGCTTGGGAAATGAAGCCATATGTGATAATGGTATGGGACATTGTGACCTCTTTGTAATTCTTAATAAGTGTGGGCTCAAAAGAAGCCTCTAACTGTAGTGATGAATTCTTAATTATTTTGTGTAAAGAAGTACTTCTTTTTAACTATTTAGTGATATTGGTGACTATTAAAAATTAGATGCTGCCTAGCACATCAATTAAATAGAATCTCTGCCCCTCTTAGTAATAAAAATCACTTATGAATGTGATTCTCAAAAAAAGTCAATCAATCTGCTAATTCCAATTTCCACTCATTTTTTTAATATAGTTCTGACAGCACCAACAGTATCAACAGGTAATTGTTTCAATATTCCTAGCTCACAATTGTCTGTTTTGAGAGCAATTTATACATAACTGCATGTCTAACCAGCTTTGCTTCTTTTCTTGAGAAGCAATATTTTTAAGTCCTTGATATAACTCATAGCAATGTTGGATTGCTATTTTGCTATGCTATTTATAATGCATTGATGATGAAAAGTCTTATATAATTAATGGTGAGTAGTTAGCAAAATCATGAAAAATCATACTGAAATTTACTGAAAAAAAAAAGAAAAAGTATGAATAATATAGTTGTGCTTGAATAAATAATTCTGAGAAATAGAATAATAGGAGATGTGTGTGGATTACAAAACATATTTTGCTTAAGTTTCCAACAAAACAATTTGTTGTATTTTAATAATATCTTAATAAAATGTTTCAAGTATTCTAGTCATTAAAAACAGTGGGAGCTTCCCTTGTTTTTCATCCCAGGAATACAAGGTTAGATGGGATGCTACTCTACAATAATTCACAAAAAGAAAAATCCAACCTACAAAAGAATTGGACAGATTATTTTATTGTTCTTTTCAAAACATTAAAATTAAGTCTCTTAAGAAGTCATGGAAAGAATTATTCGTTGTAGTTGTTTTTGATAGATTACCACTCCACTGTTAAGCAAATTAAAGCAAAAAGGATTTTTTAAAAGTCAGTCTTCCATTCAGGTTGCTTTTTGCAGGATCTCTTGTCTGCACTGTCTCTATTATGTTGTTGCAAAAAATGCTGCTGCTTAACTCTTGCATGAAGAGTTGACATGGGAAAATAAACAACAAAAACTTAATAAAGTCTGCACATAATTGTATCCTGAAGCTCGACTCAATTCAATCTCACTCAAAAAAACCCCACACAGAATATCCATATCCATTGAAGTACATTCAAACATACGCCAAAATTCCCACTATGGCATTCATAGTGATCTCTGTATTTACAGCCTAAGCTCCCAGCAACATTGGAAGTTAAATCAGCTGTAGTATGCCTTGTCCTGCAGCAGAGTTTGTCATGGGTCTGCAATCCTGAACAATGTGCTTAAGTAACAGCAGATTTGATCTGGCACTCCTAATGTCAGTCCATCCAGTCAAAGCCAATAGCAGTAGGTATATGACTAGATTAGTAAATCTGCTGATTTTACTAGCCTGGAAATAAATCCTGATTTATAAGCCACCAAGATCTAGTTTCTATGCTTGGAACAGCTGTAACACATGAGGCAATGCCTCTTACGACTAACAACTTTTGTGAGAATGCCCATTTCATGTAGAACTTAGTACTCTCAAAATGATTATTTCATAGATTGTCCTTTCAGGAAATGCTGGGTGAAGGAATTCAACTTGAATTCATCATTCCAAGAAAAAGAATTAGGAGCCTTTCTGTATGCTCTGGTTTCATGCCAAATAAAGTCTTTTTAGGTGCTCATAAAAGGTGGGGAGGGTACCATCATTCTTTTTTGATAGTTAAATTTTGGATAGTGCAGATTAACATGCTTGAGAAGCAAGTACAACCTACTTAACCTGGTGCAGCTGTATGAGCTACTTTCATATAACATGCTGTTTTTAACTTTTATTTAGTTTTGGGGGGTTTAGTGTGTGGTATGCAGTTTATTATTCAGTGTATTGTGTTTATTCAGTAATCGGGTTAAATGTGTTGTGCAAGTCAAACCTTTGGTATTTTTCTCTCCCTCGTGGTAGAGAAAAATATGAAAAATACTACTTAATACATTAAAACATAATAGTATTTTCTAAAACTGTAGCATGATAACAATTTGTTTTTCTTTAATCAGGCACTTGAAAACAGATACGAAGTTATATTTCGGGAGCCAGATACACGTTGGAAGTTCCATGTTCGGGAATTAGCTCGGTATATTTTACAACCAAATTTAGAAAAACCAGACAGACCATTATAATCATTGATTGATTTGAATACTGATTTAGGCAAGAGCTGGGAGGCTGGTCCTGAGAATCGGCATATAGGAAAGTTGGCTTCTACTAGTCTAGCTGGAGACATCTAAATATTCATCCTGTTTATCTACCACAGTAGTGTAGTTTCTTGGATATATTGCAAAAATTGTGACTTTGAAACTCTGATTGCTACGTCACTATTATATCTCATGTGTCAGAAATGCAGTATATATCCCATTTTAAACATAATTTTCAGTGTTTGAAAATATCTTGTTAATATAGCAAATAACAGACATTTGTATTTAAAAATAAACCTGCAGCAATAATTAATAAAACATATAATGAGATTTGAATAGTAAGAAATCTGGGAAAAAACTAAATGTTATTTTTGAATTGGTAATTATTTGGCATGATTTCTGATGAAGTATGATCTTCTTATTAACGTTAATCTCTGTTAGTCTCCTAACAGTGAGAAAGTTAGGAGCAAAAGCTTCAATTGAGAAAGCATGAATTTTTTTTCTTCTGTGTGAAATATTATCTCACACAAAGCATACCCGGAGCTTTATATTCATAGATTTGGAATGGACTATTTAGGCCACCGAGTTCAACCTGCTGCTCAGGGCAGGAATCTAAATTAAAACATTACAATCTGAGGATTTCTATCTACTGAAGCTAATCACATCACTTCCTTTGGCAATTGGTTCCATTGCTGAACCAATTTTACTACCGAGAATTTTTGCCCAAGATTCATCTGGAATTGTCTATGTATAATTTAAACCTATTATTTATCTTTTATCCTATAAAATGATTGAGAATGGGTCTATTTTTCTCTAAGATGTTTTTAATTTGGGGTTCTTTCCTATAGCCAATTATCACTTGATGCGTTCATGTTTTTTTTCTTAAAATAACAACGTTAAAGTTCATACAGATAGTCAGATAACTCTCTTCCTTTCTTTAGTAGATCAATTTTGGTTCTGCTTGTACTGAACATATTAAATTACCTAGGGGCTGTAACAATTAGTTCTTTTCTTTTGCTCTAGTCAGTATCCCATTCTTATTAAAAATACAATTGAGTTTTTAATTTGGAGCCTTTTTCTTTCTTCTGTGATTCTGGGGAGTCCTCTGCTGAAAAGAACCCTGTTCTCTTGCTTCTCAGTGGTCACTTTGATCACATAGGTGTTGGATATAGTTGAATGCAATATTAGAGGGAGTGATTCTATTGATCTCTTAATCAGCATATAATCATATAATCTCAACCATACCCATATACACATTTAATGGACTAATTCCTATGACTGAACATACAGGAATTTTGCCTTCTGAATCTATGTATCAGGTTCTATTTTTTTCAAAACCATGTACAAGGAAAATTGTAATGCATGGATCAGGGCAATTAATATTCTTATGTTTTTCTTTGACATATTTTTATTTTATAGACGTAATCATCATGGTGTTCCATTTGAGAAAATACAATGGATGAAAGACGAATATGAGCATGATGTTACCTTCCATACAGTGCTTCATTCTGAAGAACCAGCCAGATACTGCAATTCTGGACGTTATTCTCGTCTGAATTCAGCTTTTTCCAACAACAGAATGAATAGGTCATGAAATTGAAGGATTTTAATAAGAAGACAGTGGGAGACTTTAGTGGGATTTTATAGATTTTATCAATTGGTATATTGTTTTAGATTCTTAGCAATTTTCTATTTTTCTACTGAACTAAAATAGGTCTTAACCCAATTAAGCTTGATGTTCCAGAATTCTTGCAGACTTTAAAGAAAATTATAGAAGAAATAATTTAAATATGAACCATAATCTGTTGTTTTTTCACATTTTTAGTTTATTCTTTTCTGCAATCATTTTAAAACTAGGCTTTATATTCACACAAAAAATTAGAGGGTGGCACCTATTCAGGTCTACACATTTCAGCCAAATACCATATTGAACTGTTGGCATTAAAATGCTAACTGTGATATATGATATATCATTTTCCAAGTCCTCATACATTAACAAGAGCAATTCTATGGTAGTAGCAGCCATGAATGTGTTGTATTTCTCACTAAGGTCAAAAATAGGACTCCAGTCAAATGGCAGGAATCTTTTCTATTTGCACTTTACCAGTGTCCAAGTCTGACTGTGTTCAGTGTACCAGAAGGCTGAGCCTTCAAGAGAACCAGACCAAACATTTTATGAATGGATGCGAGTGAAGCTTTTGAGCTGCAGGATAAGGAAACCATGAAGCTGCGCCCAAAACCAGCACCGATTTGTGAAATCCCCAGAAGTAGTACAGATAAATTGTAATAGTTGTTAAGTAGTATATGTCATAAGATCTTGTTTCTTGAGTCCTATAGATTCTATGTTCCAGATTCTGTTTTTAAAATGTGTATCCATGGTATGTAGCTTTTTTTTACTTTTCTGCTTTTGGATTTTCCCTTTAAAAAATCCTATTCAGTGCACTTTATTGTTCAAAGAGATGAGGTACTTTATTAGCTCTCTAATTTTGAATTCCTGGTTCTGATGGATTTTATCTATCTGGTAGTAATTTGCTAACATAAAAACAGTACAGAGCAAAAGTACAACCTCAGTTTATTTTTATTCTACAGAAATGGTAATTTTGTAGACTTTGGTCTTTGTGAAACCAAAAGATGCATCTCAACTTTCCTATTAAGTAATAAATACTTAGATGTGAGTTAGAAACCAGCATAAATGTTAAAAACTAGATAGTGGCTAAAACCAAAATATTGAAATTATTACCGCTGCTATTAATATTGATTGAAAGAATAAGTTTTTTCTCTTTTTAAAAACTTTTTCACTTTATAGCATAAACTGGATTCTTTTTCTCTTGATCTGGTTTCTGTTAATTCTTTAAAAATTAGCCAGAACATTCTATTATTTTTTAAAATGTTCATTATACTTTAGGGAGACTATTCTACCAACAGGTTCCAATTTTAGGTACCCCAAGCCCAATGAAATTTGTGAAGCATATCAAACAAGATGATATAATTAAATATGATAGGAATTCAACATATCATTTTGCAATGCATTTAACTTTTGTCATGGATATTATGTTTTATTATGAAATTTTGGCTACTTTATGCAAACAAATATATACAGATAATGATCATTGTATTCATACTTGGAAACTGCTTACTGTAATAGTTTTGTACTGGATAGTTTAGTGTTCAGGGACATATTTGTCATTAGGCTTTAGAGATCACTGTAATAATAATGTATCTTTTTGCAGAACTCAGTTCCTTGCAATAAAAAAATTATTTACATTTATTTCCCCAGTGTTAGTGGAAGGATCCCTGAAAATATTTCTGAAATAAGTTATAGATCAGGTGATATCATCCTCATTTGTAAATATTAAAGGATTAGGAATCATTTTCTTTTTTCCCCTTCTTTAGGAAAATTTGATGCTATTTTAATAGTCTATTTTGATGCTATTTTAATAGAAAAACAAGAAAAATCCATTTCTGCAACCTTTTAAACTATTCTTGTGTTAAGCCATTTGTGCAAAAGCTAACTTTGACATAAGATGCATTGAATATTTGGAAAACTTTAAATTTGAGATAAAAATTTGAAACTAGTAACTTCTGATCCAGAAATGTACCTGTGGCTTACATATCAGGAATTTGTAACAGTTGTTCTTACTGAAGTGTCTTAAAATGCTTGTTTTGAGCTAAAATTGTGTAATAAACAAATCTAAACAAACATTTACAATGTTCATAGTTTTAAAAGGTAATTCACACATTAAATATAAACTATATTAATAGTGACATTTTCTTTGCCTCTGTAACATTTCCATTGCAATAATGAACTGTTAGTTTTGTTTTCCTTTGTAGGAATTAATTTTCTTTGGTATTACCCTGATGCATGTGTGTGTGTTTATTAGTGGGCTGGACAGAGTGATCAGCCTATAAAAAACTGCAGCATCATGTCCTGGATATCACAGGTATAGTTTTACCCACTCCTTGCTCTTCTGAAAAATTACTTAAGAGGGCTTGGGTATTTATCATTGCAAGTTCCTCATCAGCAACAAAATTGCTTTCAGGAGCAAAATCAGTCCCATTTAACTTTACTGGTGGATGTTTGTTATTCTTACTTTCAGTTTTTTTAACTGATGTTTTGGTCTGGGTACAAGTGCTTCGAGGGGGCTGAAATGCTTTTTTTAGAGATGGTGAAATAAATGCACAGATTGGTTTCACAGGTGGAGGGGAAGGTACTTGACTGAGCAGGTCCATTGCCTTTCGTTTCTTATAGTTCTTTGGAGTTTCTTGAAGATCTAGTGTCACTTTTGCAGATCCAAGAGAAAACGATGGTTTTATGTCTGACTTTCCAATGGTCGAAGGACTTTGATGTCTTAGTTCACTGTTGGGAATTGTAATCTTAAAAAGACAACAAAAAATTGAGTTGTTTCAGCTACTTTTCCTCATTAAAAACATTTGAATTAAATAATGCCTTTCTCTTTAGATACGTATGCTTTTAAAATAACTCCCTTCAAAGCAATCTTGTCTCTACCATATATTTAAATGAGGAGTATAAGACAGCAGTCCTGATCTATATGCCTTGGAGATGTGTTTTAAACTCCTAGAATTCTCAGCAGTGACTATGTAGGATTATGAAATGCCCTAAAACATTTTAATTGAAATTCTTGATAGGAATAGAATAATTTACTTTTGAACAGCATTTATAAAATTGTTCTTTTGATAAACTTACTGCTTGTTTATTTCCTGCATCAGATTTCCAGGGAGGATCCAAGCCACATTCTTTGGATAAACTGAGTAATTGCAAGGGATCTGATTTTAGCAAATTCATGATTTTGTATTCTGCATCTTTGCTAAAGTACTCATTGTTCTACAAGACAAAAACAATATTTTTCTATTATAATAACTATATTCTTGTAAAGTATGGATAATATATTTATTATTTAATTCTATATGGCTATCCAATTGACATACAACAAAAAATGAAATAACACATATTTCAGGTGTTGTATCAATACACGTTTTAAGAAATTATTTGAAGTATACAACTAATACCTTATTTTTGAATGTCAAGAGTTGCAAAAAACATGATTTTTTTTATAATGGAATATATATGGGTAATCCTCAATAATGGCAATTGGGACTAGAATTTCTGTTGCTAAATGCCGTGACTTTAGAGCACCTCAGCATGTGACCTCAATGCTTAGTGACACAATTTTCAGCACTTAGAATTGCTATTATTAATCAAATTGTCATGGCCTTTTAAGTGAGGACCTCACACAGTCACTATTTGCGAACTCCTGATGGCTTTCCCATAGTTTTTACTTGTGAAAAACTGACAAGAAGGTTGCAATTGGTGATCAGGTGACTGGGACACTGCAACACTGATATTGTGAGCTGGGCGTCAAGCACCTAGATGTGACCACAGGCAAACTGCAACCAACAAATACAAAGATCAGTCATTAACTACCACTTGTTCAGCACTGTCATAAGTTTAAACAGTTGCTGAACAAGTGGTTGTTAAATGAAGACTTATTTGTAGGACTGTGCAGCATTTAGATTCATTTCCACAAAGGGGTTCTGGGAATGAGGAAGGTTGTAGAAAAGAAAAGAAAAGAAAAAATGATGTGGACACTTTGAATCAATTGTGGAATGCTGTTTTAATCTGCATCAGAAAAAAAGTAATGCATGCACCGTATGCACTAAATGTACTTAACTGCTCTTTAGAAATAAGTAACTTTACCTCAATAGTATTTTTAAATTCTTTAAATATTTCTTGGAGATGGTTTTCCTTTGGGTTTGAAGAAAATGCAGAAAGCTCTCCAGCAAATAGGGTGGGAATATCTGATTTAAATTCAGGTCGCCACTGAAGATTGGTTGCAGAGATGCATGCAGATGGAATGATTATATCTTCAATAGCAAGCTGCTTGAGTTCTGTACAAATCTGGATTGCTATTATATTATGATGTTCATCTGACAAATATACCAATGTACAAAAACCTATGTAAAAATGAAACATATAACTTACTGGATTTAACATTAAATTTTTCATGTTGGCCATCTTCAGGTTCAAAATAAAAAAAAATCCTTTACTCCCAGCTACCACTGATAGAAAATTATAATCTATTTGCAGCAGGAATGCAAAGGAAAAAAGAGTAATCGACAAGTCCTTTGATGCCAACTCTTCCCCTACACCAGGGGTAGGCAACCTTGGAATCATAAAAGAGCCAAGGTTGCCTACCCCTGCCCTACACTGCATTCTGCCATCACCACCAGGTAATCCTACTGACCTGCCCTTTAACTCAGCTGTTTGTTAAGGCTCACCTTGTTTGTTTACAAATGGACTGAAGAAGCAAATTGTTTCTGCCAAATCCATCAAATTAGTATTTTTTTTAATTTCTACAAAATGGAAAACTCAATACCACAATTCCCACTAAAGAAAAGCAAATACAATTTAAACAAAAACAATTGTGAAAAGCAATACAATAACAAACATCATAAATTTAAAAAGTAACTACGCTCTTTATTTTAATGCATAATCCTACTGCACTTAAGTTTTCAGACATTATGAAACCCAATTTAAAGAAAGTAAACACAGGTCCATGGAATATCAGAAGATTGGTACAGTGAAAGAAGGGAAAATACTAAAAATCAGCCCTTTCCTTATACACCATTCAAATATTAGGATTTGTAGATGGATATTCTTAGTTTATATTGATGCAGGTCCATGATCATATTAAAAATTTAATGGATTGGTTTATATGGTTTCTTTATTATTTCTATTTTTAACAAGATCTAGACATAGTTTTAATTTGCAATAAATATATATTGCAATTAATTTAAAATTTTAAAAGCCCAGTGATTTTTCACCATTACATAAACAAACTAAGGCAGAATGTATCCATTCTACCCAGGTCATGGGGTGAGTTATTTTATCACTTACGTAAAACTTTGAAGAAATTTTACAACTTCTACGTTTCAGTTTGGGAGGAAAAAAATGACTTTAAAGATACCAATTTGTAACTTATTTATAATTACTTGTATATGTAATAAGTGTGATTACAATATGTAACATACCTGCTCTTTTTGTCAAGCAAACTATATATCCCACCAAATCGACTTCAGAACAAGCTGGTCGGAAGGAGGGCTCCAGTAATTTACTATATACCAGACATTCCCTTGGTCTGTAAACTTGTAGTAGACTTTTTTGAGAAACCTAATAACATTATGGATAATAATATTATGAAAATTACGTAAAACTTGTAACTTAAGTAGCTCACTTTAAGTCTTACTTAAAGGACACTTACTGGCAGTTGTAGATACTGGGTTTTCTTGGTAGCTGTTAACTGTATATTGTTGGTTTTCAACTTGCCTTTCGAGTGAGATGCAGATAAATGTAAAATTCTATATCGGCCTCCTTCCTTTAAGAGGTTACAAACATCTGAGGATGGACGCCAGATGTTCAGTATACCTTCTAAGATTAGAATTAAAAATACAGATTGTATTTTGACAACAATATGGTGCATCTTTTTAAAAATATTCTTGCTGGTCATTGTCCATACAGGTAGTCCGTAACTTAAAACCATTTGTTTAGCAACCATGATGTTGGTTATGATGGCACTGAAAAACAACTTGCCCAGCTATTAGTGTCTTCATGGTCATGTGATCAAAATTTGAGTACTTGACAACTGGCATATATTTATGACAGCTGAAGCATCCCAGATTCACACCATCTCCATTTGTGACTTTCTTAGCTGGCTTCCGACAAGCAAAGTCATTGGGAAAAGCCAGGTTTGTTCAATGACCATATGATTCATTAAACAACCATGGCAAAAAAGGTCATAAAATCAAGTGTGTCTTGTGTAGTAATAGAAATTCTGGTCCCAATTGAGGTCGTAAGTTGAGGCCTACTTGTATTTCATTGTTAAACAAAAACTACACATATCGATTCATATCTATGCTACAGAAGAACTTAATTAAATTTACTTTTAGACATGTTAGTATTTGAATAGTCTATAATTAATGCATCAAGGGATGGCATACAATGAATTCAAATAAACAGATTATATGAATAAAGCATTGCTTAGATCAGGGATGTCAAACTCAATTTCATTGAGGGCCGCATCAGCACTGCGGTTGCCCTTGGGGGACCGGGTGGGTGTGGCCAGGGTGGGTGTGGATGGAGTGGATGTGACCTACTGGGTGGGCATGGCCAGTTCTACATTGTTTGCGTCAAGGGTGCCTGTGGGGGCCTGGGCAGGAGTGGGACAGATCTGAGGGTCTCTGGCAGAAGGGGGTGGGACCGGGGTAAGTGCCAAGGCATGGTGCATTTCTTCATTCCTCATAAAGGGTGACACCTCCCCAGCATGCACCCAGGGGGATGGGCCAAGGCGACAGGGGCTGGTTCCTCACTGTTTCCAGATGGCCTTGTGGAGCTAAGACTGAATGCATTTCAGCATAGATGGCCACCACAAAATTGTATCTTGGCTCCCGGATGGCCTGGGCCAGGGCCAAGGCAGCAGGGACCGTTCCCTCACTGTTTCTAGGATGGCTTCGTGGGCCACATGAACCATTTCGCGGGCTGCATCCGGCCCCCCGGGCCTTGTGTTTGACATGTCTGGCTTAGATAGTATATTACATATATTTACGGTATGCCTTTCAGAGTGGATTAGTATCGTATTTACCTTTTGAGTTTTCTTTTGTCCCATAATCTACAATTTGTAGTTTGATTATGGTGGATACATCCCTTCTGCAGGGGCTGTTTGTCTCTTGCTCAGCAGATTCCA